GCAGAGTTCTTTCAGAATTAGTCCATAGGTTCAGTCCAATGTTCAATACCAGAGTGATCCAAACCTCAGTCTTGTGGCTCAAGCTTCTCCTGACAAAGCATAAGCACAAGCACATTGGAGATGAAAGGATCAGGTTCCAAGAGTTTTTATAGAGATTTTTTGCAACCTCTTGTCAGCATGGAGTCCTTGGGTGAACAGTAGACTTTTTTGAAGTAATCTCTTTCTTAAGCATCACCGGGAATCAGCTACGTTTATTAGCACAGGGTAATTATTCATTAAGCAGTTCATAGAAAATGTACTACACATTTCAAAGTGAAATATAGACAATGACGTTATCACACCCATGTTTCATCTAAATGTTAATACACCTCTACCCCGATATAACGCGGTCCTCGGGAGCCAAAAAATCTTACCGCGTTATAGGTGAAACCGCGTTATATCGAACTTGCTTTGGCCTCAAGCATCTCCGTCATTAATAGTCAGCAAATAGACCCGCTCCCTATCCAACCCCCACCTACTTCCTGCCCCCGACTGACTCCACAGAACCCCCGACCCATCCAACCTCCCCCTCCCCCCCTTCCCTAATCACCCCCAGGACTCCCATGCTGAGCCATGGACCGCACCGGGACGGCCACTAGGACCCAGGGAGCTGGCACATGGAAGCGCTCATACCTGCTCGACCACATCAGCTTGGGTGAGCTCCGTGGGGGCGGGACAGGGGGAACTGGCCCGGCGGCTGCTGCCCTGTCTGTGGAGCGCGCCCAGCCCAGCGCGGCAGTTGAGCCCACGAGGAGGAGCATGGCAGGCAGCCTCGTCTGAGGTGCCTGCGTGCGCCTGGTCCCCGCCTCGTGCCCACGTGGTGCTGGGGGAGGGTGAGCCATCGGCGGGCGGCTCCTGCCACACTCAGCCCATCTCTCCTCCTCTGCAGAGCCCCGCGCAGCCCCTCTCTGGTGAGGACGCCGCAGCCAGCTGCTCGCCAGGGCGCATGGAACACCTGACTGCGGGCAGGTAGTGCGGCGTGCTATGAACCTGGAGAGCCCGCCCGGCGCTGCTGCCAGCTGGGCCCACTGTGTGCCAAGTCCTCCAGCGCCGGGACAGGGGCACCTGCATGGCGCCGTCTAGGATGGGCACCTCTCCCTGCCCTGGAGCCGCAACTACCCCGCATGGACCAGTCTTCCCCAACTTCTCGGCACCAGCTGGAGCCCGTGTGACGTTCCCCTGCACTGCAGCTCCCCTCCTTGGGCTGTGGCTCCAGCCACTCCCTGTCCCCTGACCGCCCCCTGAGACTCTCCGCCCCTTATCCAATCCCTCGGCCCCGGCACGGCACCCTTAACACACCGCTCAGAGCGGCGTGTCAGAGCCAGACACGCTGATGCGCTGATCTGTCGGAGCGCACAGCCCCGCCCTCCCAGAGCGCTGCTTTACTGCGTTCTGTCTGAATTCGTGTTATATCGGGTCGTGTTCTATTGGGGTAGAGGTGTATTCCCTTTTGATCTTTGAATTAACAGATACAGGAACAACCGTGTAAACAGATGGTTCCTGTCTAACATCTAACAAGATATAAGTAAACTTATACAATTAGTATTACCTATCATTCTCTAACTATGCACGTTTACATTTCAAAGCTCTAGTGTATCTAACAAAGCTATATTAGCTATTTATAAGGAATAACCCTAATTACCATTTATATACATCTCTAATATATCTTTGAAGGTTGAATTAGGGTCATTTAGCCTGCAAGTTACTTAACCCTTTCTGAACCTGTCTCACACCTGCCCATCCAGGCTAATAGCTGTTGATGGACCTGTCCTCCATTAACTTACCTTGTTCTTTTTTGAACCATGATAGTCTTGGACTGAACAACATCCTTTGGCAAAGAGTTCTGTAGGTTGTGCATTGGGTGAAGAAATGCTTCCTTTTGTTTTAAACCTGCTGCCTATTAATTTCATGTGGTAACCCCTAGTTCTTGTGTTATGAGAAGGAGTAAATAACACTTTATTTACTTTCTCTACACCAGTTATGGTTTTATAGACGTCTATCATCTCCCCCCTTAGTTGTCTCTTTTCCAAGCTGAAAAGTCTCAGGTTAGGGCAACTGCACCTGATTCCCCTTAGTGGTTCAGCAAGAGCACGCATTCTCAGGCTTACAGCTCCCTACCCATTGCCTTTCTGGTGTAGAAACATCTCTCTCTCTTTCGATGGGTATCTTCAGTCTGAACAGTTCCCTGCCTTCACTGTTATTCCCAGCAACACAGACTTTCTAAACAGACCTGCTTGCTTTCTCTTCAGACACTAATAGTGTAACTGTCCACCGTTCTAAGCAAGCATATTTTATTCTTAAAATAAACGCACTATAGAGAAAACATTAAAACAAAATAATCTACATGCATGCTAATAAATTTACCAGAGATCACCCACCCCAACATGGGTTCTGGTAGGAATATTCCTTTAAAGCCTCACCCAGTGGTTTCAATTTCATCTGGAGAAGCTGTGCAACAAAATGAGATTTCTTTCTGTTAGCAGCTTCTCTCCTCCTTTAACTTACCCTGGTGGTCTGGAAAGTGACCAGAATACAAACTGAAAATTTTCTCTAAAGTGAGACTTAAACATATAATTGTCTTAAATTGATTGTTATATTAAGTTATTGTCTTACTGCTAAGAATGAGTTGCTGAAGTGTTTCAACAGCGTTGGAAGAACTCTTCTTTGCTGAAGAGTCGGGCTGCCTCTCTGAGGGGATCTGAGCTTCTCTCCCTGCCCCTCATGTCAAACCCAGGAACATGGGAGCCTTGATTCTCTGAGGGGGGTCTAAACTCCTTTCCCTCCGTGTGTGTGTGTGTGTGTGTGTGTGTGTGTGTGATGG